CAGACTGTCCACAAAATACTAATGCATGGTACACAAATTATAAAAGATTCCGTACTTCCAGTTGGTATGATGTCTGAGGAAGCACAGGAACATCGGAATAAAGATTACAAAAGATTAAGAGAATATAATACTCATAAATTTTCAAGAACTGAAACGATGACAGACTGAATTCACATGCTGCTGATATCTTCGGACCCAATTATAAGAGTGAAACGTCAGAAAAAGAACGGTGGCATACCTTCTGATGTAATGAGTTTATTAGCGGAGTTTGACGAAAATAATGAAGCACAATTAACAAACATTGACGTTGAAGACGAAAGTCTAGAATGATACATATTCTAGTGCTTATCATAACTATACGACACCCACATAATGACAAGTTTTGACAACTTATTTTATTACTATTTAATCTTAATTATTTTTTCATAAAAATGTACTATGCTCTTTAACAAAACACATATCAACCCAAGTTTCAAACTTTGTGCAATATTTGAAAAAAAACCAACAAACTTTCGCAGTTTTGTAGCTCATTAAATTTTAGTAAAATAAAGTGCAAGTTTGAAGTACCTAGGGCTTTTCGTTGATTTTTGGCAATTTTTTTTTTGGGTTACGATGTCAGTTATTTTCTGCCATACGAAGTATGGTCGATGATTTTTTTATATGGAGAATATGAGCAACACCTTCAACAAAAAAAGGCATCGAAATTTTTCGAAAGTTTATTGAGTTTTTTTTTTCAAATATTGCACATTTTTGACAAAGAACAAACGACATTTTTATGAAAAAAGTAATTAAGATTAAACAATAGTAAAATAAATAGTCAAAACTTGTCGATATGTGGGTGTCGCATAGTTATGATACGGACTGTTTTTATTAAAGAATTAGCTGTTCTATAAAATTATTTTAAAATGTATTTGTTATTGGGAACTGAAAATAAAAATAAAAATACAAAGCGAAATTGTTTTAACAAATTTGTAATCGTTTTAAGTACAAACAAAAAATTTTCATATGTTAAGATTTTTTAAATATTTCGCTTGCCATGTTGGCGTTTTGAATTTTTGGTAAATGACTTTAGATATGTAATCAGCGACCCAGAAAACCCCGTATACCCAGTTTCATAGAAATCTACCGATTTTTTAAAATTTTCGTCCGCCATAATGGATCCGCCATTTTGAATTTTTGGTAAATGACTTTAGATATGTAAT